AGGGTAAACTATTTTAAATGTATAAAGTGGAATATAAAAGGGAAAGTATTAAAAAATACATATGATAAGCAATCTGAAAATTAGAAATAAAAATTCAAATACAAAACAACAATAACAGTAATAACAACAAAAAATATAATTATAATAATAGTAACGATGATATTAAAAACAACATCAATAATAATAGAACTTATAATAAGTATGCTAATGAGAATGATGATGATAAAATAAAATTAAATAAAAGTAAAATAAAAAGGGAAATTACAAAGCTTCAATTAAAATTTACATAAAACAAATAAAATAATAAAAATCAAATTCATATGGGGGGAATATGTAGTTCTTACTTCTTTATAACCCATCTCCTCTCCCATCTAATTATGGGTTCCCAATTTTATTTATTAAAAATAATACTTCCTAATAAAATAATAATGAACTTATTAATTTAAACTCTTTGGAAATGGGAAAATGGAGTCATTTAAATTGTTGAAAAAACCTGCACTGTTTATATATATATATATATATATATATATATATATATATATATATATATATATATATATATATATATATATATATATATATATATATACATACATACAAGTATATATATATATATCACAGTTTTTGTAAAGAATTTTATATATATGAATAACATGCTCAAAAACTTTTATCGAAAAATTCCACGGGGGAAGGGCCTCTTGATGACTTTGTCCGCACGAAGGTTCATATACATACATATGTATAGGAACGGGACTCATGTTTAAAATATCAAAATATAAATATAAAATATAAAACAGAAATTTAAAACCATAAATAAAGTTTGAGCTTTAAAAAACATAACAACATAATTATAAAAACAAATGAAAAAAATAAAAGATAAAAAAATATTAAAAAAATATGATGCTAAATATAAAAACGTAATCATGATAATTAAATAAATTATGAATTGGATAAATAAAAATTAAATGCAAGTAACATAAAGAATGAATATAATACAGCAATACAGTTATTTGCAAAAATTTGAAGTGAATATAGTTAAGACTATTAGAAATTAAATTGAATCTAAAACTGAAACTACAAAAAATAACAGGTAAAACGCCGGGAAATAATATATATAAATACACAGTAAAAATGTAAAATATGAAAGACAAGTTACAAATAACGTTTATAAAAAGCTAAAATTAGGCAAAAAAAAAAAGGTAAAATTAGGGGGTGGGATGCAAAATAAAAATGTAAAAGTAAGTTACGAGAAATCATAGAGTAGACATAGGAAGGAATGAAAATTGCTTCACATAATATGGTAAAAGAGATGCCAAGTGTGTAGTTGTTTATGAAACCTGTATAGACCATCTAAATTTGGTTCCTTCCCCTCCTCTGCATGCTTGCTCTCAAATCCAAATATCCAATCAATGCATTAGGATCATTGATCTAAATATCGTGCTAAATGTCAGCCTAGGTGGTCTTGAACGACGAGTTGATGGTTGAATTATTGTGTATTCTCTTTGTTCCAAAAAGGTGGAATCTCCCACCCCAGGACTCCCCTACCCCGACCCGACAGGATGGTGGGGAGGTTAGTCACAGTGACTCAGTCAGCAGAATGACAGTAGGCTCATACACTCGCTGCGGGGATTCAAACCTTGGTCCATTGTTCCAAATCTCCCACCACTCGACCAACTGAGCTATCCGTGTGGGTAATTATTGTGTATTCTCCGCCCAATCTTAAGGACATTATTTGATCATAATGAAAATGTTTGAATAATTCAATAATTTTAGATAAAATTTTATTTAAACTTGTTTGGTTATTGACAGTTTTACTACAAATGCATAGCATATAATAACTAGAGTAGCGGTCCTGACAGACAGGCCTGACAGGATTCGTCGTTCGGCCGAGGCCATTAGAGGCTGTTCTCGATGGAATTTTTTGATAAACTTTTTGAGCATGTTCCTCATCAAATCTAGTTTATCCATACCAAATTTCAGCTAAAAATTCAATCAGTAAGGCAGTCAAATAATTTGTTGAAGAAAACTGAGTTGTTTATATATATATAGCACAATTTTTGTAAAGAATTTATTTGACTGCTTTCACGATTGAAATTTTAGCTGAAATTTAGTATGGATAAACTAAACTTTATGAAGAACATACTCATAAAATTCCATCCACAAATTCCACCGGGAAGGTCCCCAAATGACCTCGGCGTGACGATGGTTTCCGTCAAGCCGACCTGATACGACCTGCCCTCATAATAATTATATGAGCTATTATGTTACCAAAATATTACGAAGCATATAGTAGAAGAATAATCAGTTTTTCAGAAGCAGTTCTCCTGTCGGCCCGAACCGGGGGGGAGGGGGTTGGGGTGGGCTACGGGATCGTTATTTGGAGGACCGGTCCAGACCGGTCTCACCGGGCGATCCGAGACCAGTCAGGGCCCAAATATTTTTTCTCTCGAATGGATTGGGTGCTAAGCGGGTGGGGTTGGGTGGTTTGGGGTAGGAATAAATAAGAAAAACCAAATTTAAAAAAAAAACTAGACAAGACCTGGCCTGGGCCGGTACCGGGCGTTCAATTCCCAAACCCAATCCCGCCCAAATCTCAGCCCGGGCCCCAGCCCAACCCATACCCAGTCCAACCCTAGGTTCGATTAGGGTTGTAACTAGGTGGTATACCGGAGGTAAGTCGGTATGAAGAACTTTTTAATTTTTTTAACATGAACTTTTTATTCTAATAATTCAAAAGAATATGAAATTTAGCGTGGACAAGTGGCCTAGCATGGCTTCTCTAGCTGCGTCCATGGATCAGGCGATAAATAGAATGTTACCGTCTGATTAACACCTGACACCTTTAAAAAAAGTATGATGAGATTAAAGAGTATGAAACTCATGAAATTGTATAACGAGATCATAAATGATTCTAGCATTTATCATTTCAACGGTTTAGATGTTCTTATCATAGTCATCGGCTACCACTATTCACACTAAACAACAATCATAGTCCAATGATAACATCCATCACATTTGGCCAACATTGGTGGATTGGTCGGCACGAAATTCTTGAAATTATGTACGCAGAATGAGATATGATTGGCAAATTTCTATGTTTGGAGATTTAAAACTGGAAAATGAAAAATGACGCCCATATATAAAAACAAAATAAAGCATATAGGTACCTAGACTCTTGGGAGATTTGCTATAAAGCTCATCTGTATGAATATCTTGAATTATATTATTAGCCGGAATCGGCCTTAAAAACACCTTATTCATAAGGTAATGCTCCAACAATTCTTCATCTGTAGGCAAAAATTTATACCCTATTGGCATATCTGGTCCAATATGGTCATGTTCTTTTGCCATGAATGAATATTTTGCGTAAATGTCAATCCAATATCCAGGTTTGTAGAAGTTCTGTGTATAAAACTCGCTAGCTCCCCAAGAACAAAGAAGAAATTGTGGTTTTGAATCTGGGGATTGATAAATCTAGTTGTGGGAGAGCCTCTTTTATAGAGGAATGATGATGATGTGATATAGATCTAGAGAAAATGATTGTGGAATTCTAGTGGAAATACAATTTTAAAGTAAAACCATTTCCATAAAGAATAACGATTTGGTTTATTTAATGGGTTTTTAAATCTAAATTTTAGTATATAGTAGATTATATTTAGGATTATAGTAATATATGCCACATATAAAGGATCTAATGGGGTAGTTTTTCGCCCTATGTTGATGTTCAGATGTTCTTGAATTTGTTTTGGGATCCAATATCTTTGCGATAACAATGAAAGAGTCATTTAGCCGCCATATGCTTAACCTCTTTCAATAGATGAATCATGAATGTGTCTTTAATAGTAACAATAATACAGAAAGCATGAGATAATGATACTAGCAAAAACAAAAATAATACTCTCTCCTAGCTTAATACTCCGTATTCTCACTTTCTTTTTTCAGTGTCTCAACTAAATGTTTTCAATTCTATTTTAGGATATAAAATTAGAACTCTTAAATAACATTTTAATTATCAAATAGTAAAAGTAACACTTTTATAACATCACAGTTATCATCAAAGATCTCATTAATTATATACAAATCAAAATTAGTTTTCTCAAAAGATACTCGATTCATTTTATTTAATTATTATTTTCCCATGAATGACTATTTCTCTATATGGCAAGAAGTACGTAGTCCTTATCAATTCACTTCATTCAAGTCAAATCTTAACACTAACTATTACTTTTCAACCACCTTCATTAATGTTTGTGTGAAGCTAAAACAAGACATCCAATATGAAACGAAAGTAGTATCTAAGTAAGTAACTATATCACTTTACGATAGAAACCTTAAGCCAGGAGGATACGATAAAAAGTGTAAATACAATAAAAAGTAAGAGAAAAGATAAAAGTATGTTTTTAAATGAAATACCAACATAGGCACGTGTAAAAAAATAAAAAATTCCAAAAAATTCCAAGTAAATAAATTTTTGTTATACAAAAATTGTATAACTAAAAGAATAAATCAATGATGACAATATCTAAATCTTATCCCTAAAAGAATTTGAAGTAGACTAGCACTAATGGATACATGATATCAAAATTTAAGAATAATAAATAGAGAAATAATCAAACATCAGATCAAATTTTACCATCTTTCTTCACTTGGTATTATGTAAAGTCATACTTTCATCTAACTCAAAAGGTTCAATATAATTAGTTATTTCTTTTTCTTCACCTGCTATAGAATGAACTTCATTTTCTATAAAAGAAAATAGCATAATTGATACTTTTTTATTCTTTCTTCAACAAATCTAGATAATAACATCATTCAATCTTGTAAAAAATGCATTTTGAATCGTGAAATTTATATCAACAATGAGAGTGAGTAATGATGATGAACGAGAGAGAGTAAAAGAACTATTCATATTAAAAAAGTTTTTCCTAATTAATGAGAACAAAAATAGTATTATTAATATAATAATAATCATCCTATGTAAATAAAATATAAATTACAACTACGAATTTCATAAGATAAGGTTGGACGTTGCAACACAAATCACAGCAAAGATAAATTAAAATAAATGGAGAGTGGAGATCATATTGTTCCATACACTACAAAATTTAGCAGCATTAAGGAATAATCAATGAGCACACTCCTAATCATATTGGCAATATGCGTCATAAGTTTCTACTTCCTCAATACATCACTAGCTGCCATGGTACAGTGGAGATAAGGATAAGTGCCATGGAGGATGGAATGGAAATATTTACATACCTATTCTTTAATTAATTACCAAAAAGGCTGGCCTACACACGAATAACTGAAGCACTTGTTGAATCTGGAGTTCCATGATAGTTAAGATCAACAAAGAACCCTCCTCCTTCACCCCTTGCGAGCCTTCCTGGGTTCAGACAAATGCACTTCAGATCTTCTCCTTCTCCCTTACCCTTGACAGAGACCACCTGACCCATAACAAAAACAATTAAGGTTCTTTTGTGGGTGACAAATGCATTTGTTGATTTTACAGTTTTAATCTAATAATAGGCCATGGCCATAAAACTTTTCAACTATTTCCAATATTTGCAATGGAGCCAAAGATTCACTATTTTTTGACTTGAGAATATGATGGAATTAAACAAAATGTCTCACCAAAGTGTCTGTGTTTCTTTATTGTGAAACAGTAGTCGATCCATGTATTTTTCGACGCGATTTTTACTATGGGTCATTCGGAAACAGTCTCTATGTGCTTTAGTAGATACGTAAGACTACGTACATCCGATCCTCCCTTACTCCACCATAGGTAATGATGATGATGATGACCATAAAACTTTTCAACTCAATTCTGTTTCTTATGATTTCTATGAATGTATAGTGTTCAACTAATTTTAAACAGTTTAATGATAATAATTTGACTTTGCACACCTGAACATGTTTAGTATCAAGGAGGTGAGGATGATATGATGACCAAATGTCAGTAAACTATTAGATGCCTTACAGAACAAAGAAAACATGATAACTATATTATCTAATCGGTATGTACACTGGGATATACACCTTGCTGGGTAGCTTACCTACTCACTACATTCTACAACACCGAGTTAATCTTTGAGTACTCGGTGACAGTATTAAAATGAGGTTTTTTTTCTTTTTTGAAAGATCTAAGCTGAAGATTGGGATTTGAACAAATAGGGACTTTATTTTAGTATGCGGATTAAGAACATTACAAAGTTTATATCTTTTAACATCTACGGGGTAAAAGTTAACACAAAGGCTTTATATTTCGGTGAGTTCTTCGTCTTCTTCTGTTCAATTTTTTCTGATTCTTAGACTAATGTGAACAAATGCTTCTTAGACTAGGAATTTGGTTATTATATATTATTATCCAAGTAATATGCAGTAACAAACTCTTCCCAGAAGTCTTATCAAGAATAATTTAGGAAGTAAATTTAAAATTAGGATTGATCAGATGATGTATCTTTGTAAAATGGTTTTCATTTATACAGGTTGCTAGAGATTTTTTTTCTTTGTATATAACGCTTGGCTAGCTAGAATAATGTTACTAATAAATTTAGTGACATTTTTTAGGAGTTATTAGTACAGGACTGAGTTATCACTGAGTAGTCCAGAGTAATCGGTCCTACTTACTACTCAGCCTTTGAACGAGTTGCCACCGAGTACCAATTTAACTACTTAGTGTGCTAATAAATGTTTCTAGTTTCTGCAGTTTCAAACCTTTTTTCCATACAAATACCAAATAATTAAATTGGGCTAGGAAAATGTTTACCCTCACAAAGTGAGCCAAGTCTGATGGTAAAATTAGTATGTCTGGAATTGATGAGATCTGGAGAGCTTCTGGTGCAATAGAGAAGTCTAAAGGAATGCCATCAGCTGGTGGATATAAAGGATAGAAGCTGCTCCACAAATCATGAAAGAGATTAAAAGGACGTTAGTATTATTGAAAGGATCCCTTGCCCTTGACCAACCTACTACCAATAAATGGATAAAAAAATCAAACATGGGAGTCATAGTAAACACATGTGCATTTATGTATGAAAAATACTCTAATAAATGAGCAAGAAGATTCACCTTATGAAGCACAAAACAACAAATTACTTTTTTACTTCTCAGTGTAATATAAATCCAATAACATTACAATTTATTACTTAACATACCTGCGCTGGTTCAAGAGGTGACTTGCAAGGGTAGACATGCGCTGCTTGGACCCCCCTTGGGGATTTCGTGAAATCTCCTCTGCACTAAGTTGTTTTAAGATATCAACTGTGCAGCAAGCAACTTTAACCTGTATTATAAGAACTACCGATGCATGAACCATGTAGAAGGAAGCAAAGCTAAAAATTATTGTAGCCACAACATGTACCTCATTTGCACAAAATGTTCCTGGGTTTGAGATGCTATGTATCTGCAATGATCAGGGGGGTGGGGGGAACGAAGAAGAAGAAGAATTAGTCTGTGATGCTCTAATGCATATGCATACCTGGTGCATAAGGATACTCTTTTCCTACTGAAATAAAACCTCAAAGAGTAGACCTTGTTGTATACCTGGTGCATACTATCAGCAATAGTAATGTCGAAAGCTGGCTGCAATATGAAGCACATAAGGTATTGGTTAGATATTTAAACTTTATCAAAGCCATGAACATTGATGACTTCATGAGTGATACGATATAGTATTTACCTGTGGAAAAACAAAGTCATGGTGCGCATCACGAATAGATGGAACGAGAATCACTTGGGCAGAAGAACCCATATATTCTACGTAATCTTTTAACTGAAACAATTCAACACAATAAAAACAAAATAAACAACAAACACCTAGATACTCTTCCGGAACTGGCAATCAGTTCTAGTGTGAATTTAATTACCCTTCCGACAATTTCATCTTGATAGATTTCATCAAATGTCTTGTGTGTGGTTCCGTTCTTGATCTCTGGATGATCAGAATCAATGAAGGGTCCTAACTGGAAAACACTTTTGGATATTAAACTTAGACTTGTCTGACTTGTTATAACAGGCTCATTTAATCCATGCATGTTTAAAAGTACATTTAGGAAAATTACCAGCACAAGCAACTGAGGCTGTTTGCGACGTGCATATCCTAGTAGCTCAGTAAGAGGCTCAAAGAATAGGTTATCACTTGTCGTAAAAGGCCCGGCAGCAACAATCTGTTCAAATGTCCAAAATTGAGTGAAAGCTCCAAATGGGGAAAAGTGGAAAACTAAACAGGAGCATGTTATTACACGATACATGCACACATTATGAAGCATGCAATTTGTGGTAACCTACGATTATGATAAATACAGTTCTAAAGAATTTAAAAGACGTGCTTATATGCAACCAAATTATGCTATCCAATAGATTTTAATAGCATGTATGACCTAACATTATTTGACCAACTCCAGAAAAGAAGGCACATTAATATGGGATTGAAGTCAATATTTGAAGAAAAGTCAATATTGAGTACTGCTGGGAGAAAGAAATAAGATTGTATAAAGGAGTGGTATATTGAAGGGAGACTTGATGCCTGTTTGTATGTGCAAGAGAGAATAAAAAATAACAGGTTGCAATATGGTGTGCCACAAAACCATGGACAACAGGAATTTGACAACGAAGGAGCATCCAGAATAAATTCATTATTACACCTGGTCACGGTTCAAGAAGAGTTTGATCATTTACAGAATAGTGACGAAAAAAAGTAAGCTGGCCTGGTTCTGACTAAAAAAGAACCATTTAGATACTATTGGAAAGAGACTGCATATGTTGCTTTTATTTTGAAAAGATGCAATGCCTAACTAGTAACTACATGGGCACAAAAGAGAACAAAAAGCATTCAACTGCAATACCATATAAGAAATTGTGTGCTATGACTATCTAAATACTGTACAACAAATAACAAATTTGTATTTCATGATTTATTAGGGAATAGTACAGGCTTACCAACGATAATTCTGGCACAGCACCATGTGTGTCGGTTTTCTCGAGCTCCTGATCCATGGCTTGTTTCTTTGCAGGATGCAAATTTTCATCAGAATAAGCTGACAAAGGAATATGATCAATAACTTTTGATGCAATCAGACAGTGTCCACTAGGGTTATGTCCTTCAATGCCAATCACCTGTTCATGTGTGTTTTAAGTCTACTCCCCAATTCAAATGTTCTGAGGTATTGGCCAGAAAAGAAAAATACATACAAAACGTGCCTGTATCCAATACCTGGCCAGGGAAGATTGAAAAGTGATCCAAGTTTTGTAAGTCAAGACGCACACGCTGTCCTCCAGAGTGCTCAACGCTGTCAAAATTAACATTTGTTTAGCATCATAACTCATAAGAGCAATGATACATGCACAAGGAAATACATATGCAGAAATCTGGAGCAAACCAAACATACATTTAATCTTCCAAAGACGCTAATGTAGTGTAGCTCTATGTTATAGAAGTCATTGTGTGTAGAAATAGTGAAAAGCTAATTAACTAATATTAATAGATAGCAGTCCATATTTTTGGTAGGATCATGAAAATCATATGCATGTTGGGAGTACGAATTTAGGGAGACATTTTATTAAGATAAAAATTTCAATTTCTTATTAAGAATTTTACTTTCAAGCACTCTCTCCCGTTCATGATACTAATGTTACTATCCCAATTATATTTATTAGGGCATTAGGTACAGCCAAGTATAAAATATGGTAGAAAACACTACATAGATAAATGTCTATCGGTTTTAAGAATCTTAGGCTACTGATGCAGCCTAAAAAGTAGTTGAATGTATTTAAATACTTGACGCATGCAGCCAGTTTAAAACTTTTAGGAGGAAAAAACAATACTAATACCAGTCCTATTGAAAGGGAAACATTAAAGTATCATGAAATGATTAATAAGACAATAGTGCATTACCTACTTTGGAGCAAAATTGGCATCTCCTTCAAGCGTCCTTCTTCCTCACAGCAAATCATGCCAACAGCCAGTAAACTTCTCTGAAGCCACAACATAATATAATTCAGAATACCAAACATGAACTGCAGAAATGGAGCAAATTGAGTTTTAATTCTTCAATGGTAAGAGCAAGAGAGCAGAAAATCTGCCTGGGAGGCAATTGTGGGATCTCTAGGTTCTTCAAAGAGCCCAGAAGCAGTGAGAGCGATCGCATGCTTTTTTATACGATCTTCAAGAAAGTTGAACTAAAAATAACAAAATAAAAATTAGTATTGAATAAAATATTCATATTAGTTCCATAGGTAGATCAGAGTACCTTATGTTCAATTCTGTCATACATAAACCTACAACCTGGCTCAGGTTGAGAACCATCAATCTGCAATGAGCATTTTTTTATGGGCTGCATCCTCTTTATGAAATCATCATCACTATTATCAAAATCATCATGTTCTACTTTCACGTTATCCGTAATGGGTGGCTCATTAAAGGTACTTTGCACTACAAATTTGCTCTTCCTCTGTCCAAATGGTGTTACTGAGTCTAGAGGTTTTCTAGAGCCATATAAGCTCCTGTTTGACTTTTCTGATGAATGGAATGACTCTCCTTCAAGAACCATGGCTCTATTTGTTGGAGAACTGATATTATCTTCTTTTACATTCTCATAATCATCATTCAACAACCTGTAATGAGAATGTCAATTGATGGAGAGATGGAAAAGTTGATAAAATGATCGACTACAAATAGCAAATTGTATTTCCAGTATATACATTCAAGAAGCATTAATAAATGGTCAGCTAATGTTGCTTGTCATTTATTGTAGTGAAGAACATTTGGACAGCTATTCTCAAAGTACAGAAGCTTCCCTTTAACTTGTGCTTTCATGGAAATGGATTCTAAGAGATAGCTGACAGATTGAAGATTCACTGTAACAAATGAAAGAACCTAAAGATAGGATTTAAAGAAAATACGCACATTACAATATCGTTGGAGTAGTAATGCAGACCAGGTTCTGTCTTGACAATTGCACTTCTCTGCTCGCTTTGTAAATGCTGTAGAAATGCACCCATATCTGAACTTTTTACGGTAAATTCTAGCCCTCTGATACAAATGTAGAAGACTCAAACTTTATTTCCAATCATCAAATTAAACAAAAATGCATGATAGATTCTCAGTCCTTACCAAAATGGAGGAAATAATTGGAACTGCATACCATTAAAATTATAATATACGTAGTATTCATTAGATAATTATTCGTTTGCCCACCTAGCCTTGAAAATGGAAAAGGCGAATGAATGAATTGTACTAAATTCTAAAAGAACCGGATAGATATAATATAGCTTTAGGCCATAACTCATAAGAATTCAGCTAGAGACATATCGACATTTTCTTTTAATCAATACAGGAGCACTCATTCCAATTAGTTTCCTCTTCAATATAATCAAGCAATTAACTCCAAAATCATTATTTTAATAAAAGAAATCTTTGGGGGTTATTTATAGAATGACTTACCTGTTGAGTGAGAAAACCTCATAGCTGATGGCCAGATCTGACGCGCTGAGCTTGTATTGTATACAAAATGTCAGGCCTGAAGAGAGAAGAATTAATAGTTTAGTCACGGAAGATTATTCGTGCTCCTTTTACCAGGAAACAATGAACGTTTTCCTCTCAAAACCTTATACTGTGAATCTCTTACATTTTTCTAGTATGTCTTCTTTGTCTTGGAGAATGAATCCTTTCTTCTTGAATTCAGCTGCGATCTCCTCGTCCATGGCTATTGCCGTAGCTAAGGTCTCCGATTAGGTTTGTAGTTTCTACCACAGTGGTTAATGGTTATGAAAGGTGAGAGAGAACGCAAATTGGCGGGAATACTCCCTCCATGTTCCGGATTATCATAGTCCTGGTTATTATAACAATTGGCCTTTCGTTGCAATTGGTAAGCCCATTTACATACAGTGTACATGATTCTAGAAGCCCATAAACAATATAGTAAGACCAGTACATTTTCAGCCCATAAACAATTTGTAAACCGAAAAAAAAAACTAATAATTTATTATTTTGAAGAATATCATAATCCATTTCTGACTAAATGTTTTTAATATCAACTCGAGTTTACACAGTAAATTCCATCGTACAGCCGGCTGTACGGTGCTCACCGTACAACCGGTCATTTTTGTAATTAAATCTGGATTGCTGCAACTCACCAACGAAGAATGACAGCCAAGTCTGTTGCTACATCCTCTCTCTTCCAGGTTCCGGCCGGCTAATATGCTTCCCGGTTGCTTACTGCTTCTACAATTTCACAAATCTTATTCCCTGAGATTCTCGCTTCTTCTTCACGTTCTTTCTAAGCCTCTCACGTAAAATAAAATCTCAAACAATAAAAACACAATCATGAAGGTCACCGTCAAACTTTCCACTTCTATGAAATTATATCTCCAAATAATTGAATCTCGATCTAATTTATCTCCACTTCTATAAATTAGAAGTTCTACTCATTCAAGTTTGCATTTATATTGCGAGAGTTATTGGGGGACAAGAGTGATGGATTTGATCACGTACACAAATGAATACTCAATAGAAGAAGTTTGATACTCAATTAACATGTCTTCATAGTCAAATGAGTATAAAACCGAAAATGAATAAGCATACACAAATGAGTTTTTGAATTTTTTTATACTCATTTTGTAAGTTATTTATGCTCATTTGGAATTGCTTTATTCTCATTATAAAAGGTTGCACATTTCAAACATATCATACTACATTAGAAATGAGTTTTATGTTAAATTCAAATGAGTATAACGTCCAAAATGAATGAGCACACATGTATGCGTTTTTTGTTTTTTTGTAAGTTATGTGTGCTCATTTGGTATTGCGTAATGCTCATTTTAAAAGGTTGCACATTTCAAACATATCATACTACATTAAATTCACATATTGAAATTAATTGAAAGTGATTACAGACATAACTTAAACTTTCTAATAAACGAAAAAATAATAAACAGGAAGTGATATATAAAGTATGACGCATAGATCACTGGTGCTCATCGTTAGGCTCCTAATACTCAAAAGAACACATTTGATGCTCGTCAAAATTGCATAAATGCTTATTTATGAGAATCCACGATTTCCACAAAAATTACAAGTTTGTCACAGGTTGTACAGTGATCACTGTACAGCAGACTGTACAGTATACGGATTCGCTTTACGCAATGTTTTAAAAAGTGTAAGATGTGGTGAGGTAACACGGCAAGCATTAAGCCTTAAAACATGAACAAGTATAGGATAAGTTGCACGAAAAGGTATTTTATTTGTTTACTAATTTTTTCTTTATAGAGCTGTTACTAAATATATAAATGTAATTTTAAAAGAAATCAATTGATGTAAAGAATTATAAGACACATCGCCTACTTGTACTTAAGTTGGAATTGTTTAATATGACCTGCTCCATATGAAACATCATTTATCGTTGTTATTATCAATGTCTTACTTGGTGATATTGGTGTTGTTACACGTGAGATAGAGCACAATTTATAGATCTTCCCACTTTAAAAGTGAGTGTGATTATGAATAGTGAAAGAGAATATTAATTATTAAAGGTATGATGGAAGATAATGAAATGGTGTGATGGAATGAACGATAATTTCAAAAAGAGTATGTGCAATAGTGTATTATTTCAAAATTATTGAGAGTATGATGGGAAGTTTTAGAAATAGGAAAATTATTTAGTTAGGGTTGAAAAAGAAAAGTGGAGAGATTTTGATGTTACAGATGTAGTATTATTAATATTATTGCTGTTACATGTTATTGTTATCATTGAACTAAGCAGTATCGTTGTCATTATCACTATCATTACCACCATAATTATGATTACCATTACACTTTTTGTTATTGTTATTGTCATTATCATTATTATTACTATTATTAGGTAAAAGGTGCAACTAAACCCTCGAACTAATAAAAAATGTGCAAATCACCCCTTTTACAGGAGGCTCTGTCCAGCCGTGGCCATTTGGGGAAGTTCTCGGTGGAATTTTTTGATGAATGTTTTTGAGCATCTTCTTCATTAAGTCTAGTTTACTCATACCAAGTTTAAGCTAAAAATTCATCCGGGAAGGCAGCCAAATGATTGTCTGCAATATATTGTGTTTTTTAATTGCACAGTTATCTTCAAACTTTGTATTTGACTGCATTCCCGATTACATTTTTAGGTTAAATTTGGTATGGGTAAAAACTACACTTAATGAAGAAGATGCTCAAAAACATTTATCTAAAAATTCCACCGGTAATCGCCCCAAATAGTGATGGTCGGACAGAGCCTCATATAAAAGGGGTCATTTGCACTTTTTCGGTTAGTTTGATGGCTTATTTGCCCCTTTTCCCCTATTATTATTATCATTATCATTACCATCACCATTATCGTCACTATTATCGTTATCGTTATCGTTATCATTATAGTTATCATTATTATCATCATCATCACTATCATAATCGATCACTGCCATTGTCATTATCATCATTATCATTATCGTCATTAATTATCATTATCAGTATCTTTATCACTATCATTATCATCAACATTATCATTATCATTATCATTGTCGTTTTCATTGGCATTATCAATTATATCATTATCATTATAATTAACGTTATCGTACGCAATCAGTATCGTTATCGTTACCGTTATTATTTTCATTATCATATTAATATCATTATCCTTATCGATCCTTATCTTTATCATTATCACCATTACATAACATGACCATAAATGATATCATTGCATTATAATTATCATTAAAGTTATAGTTAGTGTGATCATTATCAATATTATCCTGTTGCCATTAGCATTATATTACCAATATTATTATTATTACTATTACTATTGTTATTATGTAATAATATTAACCAATTATCGAAGAATATTGATAAAATTAATGATAAATACAACCATGATAATAGAAACAACCCATGCTACAACATTAATAGACAATTATTATATATTATAATAATGATAATAAAACAGTAACAACATGTGTTTATATACAAGAAATAACTACGAACAATCACATGTAACACTACATAATCACAACATTGATAATGACACGGGTGACATTATTATTGATAATAGTAATACTTCCTCCGTTCTTAAATAAGTGCAACAGTCAACATTTCACACTTGCCGAGACACAACTTTGACCATTAATATATATAATTCTCCATTAGTAAAAAATTTAAAAAAAAAATAGTTTTTGAAAATTTACAATGAGACAAATTTAATAATATATTTTTCAAAAAAATATATTAATACATCAATAAATAAAATGTAGTCAAAGTAGAACATGTGAATAGTGTAAAATTTCACATGTTGCACTTATTTAAGAACGGAGGTAGTATATAGCAATAACATATTTCGTATAATTTTATTTTAATAATTGTAAGAAAAGGATGACGACGACGACGATGTTGTATCCATTTTTTATTTAATCAAAATTGACTTACTAAATAATACGGAGTATACCCTCTTGGCTCTTTCTTTATTAGTTGAAACTTGAAACAGCTTATATTGATCTGACTTTTGAATGATTCAGATATTGTCTTCTGACCTCATATTATTTATGAATGTATTACTTAGTAATATAATTTATCAAGAAAAATAGTTTTAGATTTGTCTTAATCTTAATTTTCAAAATATAATTTTAATATTCTTTAATAGTAGTCATTTAAACCCTTTTTTAAAGAAGAGCACTTATATTAAAGTCGTACTAACCAACAACCCAATCACAACGGCATTCCAAATCCCCCCTCTAAACATCATATAACCAACATACTTTCTCACTCCCTGGTCAGACATAGAGTAGTCCGCTCAAAATTGAGTGAGACTAATTCGCTGAATATGTGAGAGCTTCGAAGCTATCATAGGCCAAAACAACTTGATTGCTTCCACACAAATTACTAGCTAATTAACAATCTAAACCAAGAGATAAACCTATTTCCCTCAAAGTCAAGGATAACGATAACAACGAAGTTCACAATTAAAAACTAAAATTGAACAAAACTGTATTAAATAAGTTAAACTGATGGATCGACTGAATCCAAACTTCAAGCGTCATTTTCAAAACCCTAGCCACACAGTTCCTCCATGGCGGCGGTTCATGAGGGAGACAGATCATAAACACTTCATCTTCTTCCTCCATCACCAGAATCTGGAATTCTCCATGCCACATCAAGCAAAACCTTCGGCTCAATCCATGGTTCTCCATCATGAAGCGAAAACCCCTGCCTTGGCGGACCATCAAGAGCCTTCACGAAAAAATTGTCTTCCTTTGGTGTCGTGCGAACCAACGAATACAGACTTAGTCACCTACTGCGTTATGCTAATGCTAGAACAAACTGCCGGACTAGCCTTCTACTGATGCCGCTGGAAAATCTACTCACACCTAGGGTAAACCCTTGGTGCCGTCCACTTTTTGTAGTCATTTAAACTTAAAATTAAACCGTCGCAATTAAAAGCGAATGTAATTTGCATAAAAAATAAATTTAGTCATAGGAGGTGCTCCCAAATGTTTCACTTATTTTTCATATATTATGATTTATGACCGTAGTGAACAATATTTACATTCACTACTTTTATCTGGTGCAACTTTTTTTTAAAAAGGTATACAATAAAGCCAAATTAGGAAACTCAAAATACTAATAATTTTTCTGCCTTTCTCTGAAACCAAACACAAAACTCTATCAAGATCTTTCATTCCCCTCTCCTCCCCTAGCCCCCTCTCATCTCTTTCTTTCCCTTCCCTCACACTTCTGGATTTTTCTCTTAAACTTATTCTTAAAAAATATCAATAAATATATGAGAATGGAAAATCCTAAAAATAGCA